CCCCCCATCCCAGCGCTCTCACCCCGGGCTGAGGCCACTGCAGGCCCTGACGGCCTCAGCTCTCACGGCCTTCCGGCCTCCCCCGCCCTCCAGCCTCCCATCTCTCCTAGGACACCCCTGATTGCTGGGTCTCGGTCCCTGTCTTCTTCTTCTTCTTACTACCTGCGAATACTGGAAGTCTCCAGAAGTTGGTGAAATTCGTCTCTTCTGCCTTCACAATACCTTCTGCGGAATTTCATCCCGTTCAGCTCTCACGGCCTTCCGGCCTCCCCCGCCCTCCAGCCTCCCATCTCTCCTAGGACACCCCTGATTGCTGGGTCTCGGTCCCTGTCTTCTTCTTCTTCTTACTACCTGCGAATACTGGAAGTCTCCAGAAGTTGGTGAAATTCGTCTCTTCTGCCTTCACAATACCTTCTGCGGAATTTCATCCCGTTTTCTAGAATCTCCTAGGATCAGGATGCTGCGGCTCCCAGTCTCTGGCTCCAGGACGTCCTCTTAAGTCACCTACCTCTGTCCCCTGCTGTCGCCGGCACGCATCTCACGTGGAGTGCACCCCTGCCCCATTTATGCTGGCTCTTCACATAAACTTCCTGTGGTTCGTGGCCCACCCTCGGCATGAATTAGCTGGGAGTCTGTTAGAAGATAAACTCAGGCACATTAAAAAAAAAAAAATTAAGCGTTTATTTGAGCAAAAATCAACTTGAATATGGGAGCAGATGGAAAGGAGCTCTGAGGAGCTGTACAAAATGGAAGACTTTTCTGGGCAGGAGGGAGCAGGAGCAGGAAGTGATACTGGCAAAAAGGCGGACTGGTTATTGCAGAGCGACTTCGCTTTAGGCGGCAGTAGGGTCCACCAGGCGGATGGCCAACTAGTGCTGCTCAGCCAGCTGCTGATTGACTCGTTTAAGAATCCCTTTCTGGGAGAGCTGAAACTGTAATTACGTCTGGGTATGGTGACATGGGGCTTAACAGAAGTGATTCCATTTTGGGCCTCTGGGCTTGTTTTTAACAAGCTTGGGCATCACCCTCAACTCCTGCTCCCAACCCCTGGTGGGATCAGACACCCAGACACCCAGCGGGCAAGCCCGTCTTCCACTCTCTAGTGCAGTGTCTTCCTCTGTATTGGGCAGTCATTCACCCCTGGTGCTGGTCCACCAGCAGGCTCCTCAGCCTTTTTCAATGTTAAATGGTGAGCCACAGGAGTTTTTGAAAACTCCATGTATTTTATAAAACATTTGTTTAGAAACTTTGCATGGCTTTTAGACCACAGATCAAGTTCAGACTTCTAAAGCTGGCCTCAGGGACCCGTCCTGTCTCTCTCCCACAGGACACCACACAGACCCGCCCCCTGGGCCCCGCCAAAGCATGTTGCCCCTACTACGTTCTTTGCACCTGCCAGTCCCATAGCCAAAGCCTTAAAATTCACTTCGCCCATGCACCACCTTACAGAAACTCCTGCCCGACCTTGCACAACCAACCCGCTGCTCACCTCCTCTGGGGCTTCCTCAGGGCGTTTGTTCTGCTTTTCTGCGTCCTTCCTTAGCTCTGCGTCAGTTACCCTGTTGCAGGACACATGGCTGGCTTGAAACCATGCATTTGTGTCTGCGTGTCTCCCGCAGGCTGGAAGCACCCAGTCAGCGATTGTGGCATTTATTGCTCGTTTTCTTCTCCAAAATCATGTAAGGAAAGTTCTCCATAAATGCTTTTGAACGAATTCACTTTAGGATGTGTGCTTGGAGAGAGGGAGTAGAGCAGGAAGTTGGCAGGCGTTCAAGGCCCCCAGGAAGAGAATAATGCCACATGCTTGAAGCAGAGGGCCTGCTTTTGCGGTCAACTCTGCCACTCTTTAGGACCTGAGGACAGTGTTTAATTGTCCTGAACTTGTCTGCTCACTTGTAAAAAGGAAGCTAGTTCAATGCCAATTTATTTTATTTGCTGGAAATCAAATCTTTCCCCATCGCCATGTCTTTAATGACACAACTGAATCGTGGCATTGGCACCCAAAAGTATTATTTTGTTTTATCATGAAATTAATACCCTTTTAGATTTATTGGGCCAGGTCTATTTTGTTTAAAGTCCAGCCCTCTCCCAAGCTTTAATGTACAAATGGGACTGGGGCACCAAGAAGATCTGGGGGAAACAGAGTCATTCTGTTACCTGTGCCAGCCCCTGTCTTTCCAGTGGTGTGTGCGGGGCCTCACCCTGGAGGTGCTCTTGTGTGTGTGTGCCAGTGGGTGTCATTGCTATGGGGCGGACCCTGGTGGGAAATACTATGCTGCTGACGGCCACCTGGATGTCGCAAAGGAATGGAGGTGAGGAAATGAGATGAAGACAGAGGAAGCGTGGAAGACACCAGAAGTGGGCGTTTGTAATTAAGAGCAGTTAATATGTAAGGTTGAAATTGATGTAATACTCCAGTCCATTCCTTCACCTATTCAGGCGAAAGAACCACACACACACGCGCGCGCACACACGCACGCTCAGGCACCATTCTAAGCTTATGCCCGCCTCGCTCTGAGTCCACAGCTCTCTGCTCAGTGGGGATCGAATCCGGGTGCGCGTGCGTCTGCCACCTCCAGCTCCTGTTCTTCTTCTCTGGGTCTCTGGTGCCACCTTCTGGCAAACCCAGTGCCACGATGTTGGAATATTCCTTCTGGCTCCCTCCTAGCTCTTTATTTTCTGAAATGTCCTCAAGTGTAAGGTGAAGAAGACCTGAGGGGACAGAAGTGAGCAGGAGGCAGGCCGGGACTGTGCTCCTCCGTGGCCCTCGCCCCCCGCAGACAGGTCGGCCCTCCAACGCTTGCAGCCTTTGGCTTCCGGCATGCCGCCGAAGGCTCTGGGGAGGCTTCATTCATGGTGCGAGGACACTGAGGGACTTTAACATTTTGTCCTCTCATAAATGACCTATTAAGTATCCAGAACTGCTGTAAAAACTACTCTTAGTCGGTTGACGTTTTAATACAATTTTTTTTTAAGCTAAAGAATTTGCATGGGTTTGGGCTGTTCTCTGTTTAGAATGTGGCCTTCACACTTTTTTTTTAACCCCACACTTTTTTTTTTTTTCCTTCCTAAATCAGAGACATCTCCTCTTGAAAAAATATCTGAGGAGGAAGCCTCAGGAAAACTATTCAGTAGTGGAGACGCTCTGGTTGGAATAGTTGTCCTCCGTCCCCAGCTCCTCTTCCTTCTCCTAAACCCCCCTCCCCACCAGAGGCCCAGGGGACCCCTGTGGCCTACTGAAGGAGGTGCGTGACTGCTCCAAGAGGCACTTCCAGCCCTCTGGGAAACTGGGAGAAGAGCATCACGTGGTGGTCCAGCTGTTCATAAACGCGAACACGCACGAAGACCCGTATCTCTAGGTGGATATTCCACTACTTTTGGTTTTGCTTATTTGCTGCTTTCCTAAACTGAAGCACGGTGTTCTTGTGTAGCTTTAAAATTTTTTGAGTTAAAAATATACATGAACATGAGAAACAGAGGATGACACGATGAAAAATAGCTTGTAGCGTCAGGGGATTGTGGGCGATGGCTTGTCTTTTTATTCTCCAAAATGTCTTTGGCTGTCAAATAATTAATGCAGGACTTATAATGATTTACTAACATTATAAGAATTAATAAACTAATAATTTTTTACAGCTGGAGTTTCATCCCTACCTTCCCAGAGAGCCTGGGAGGTAGGGCGCTATCTTCCTCTAAGGACTTGAGAAAGACTGTCCTGTGTCGTAAAATGGGAAACAGGCCTTTTGAAAATATTTCCATCTCAAAGGAGCAGAGAAAGGATTTACAGCGACAAGCTGTCTGAAGCAGATGCCCTAAGGAAAGGGGGTTCTGGGCTGAGAGGCTGGATGAAGCTTGCTCTAAAATTTAGTCAGGCTGGGGTAAGGTCAAGGCCGGCTTGGCCTTGTCTCTGATTCAGTGTCCACCTGAGGACTTGGGATTTGGGCTTCGTATTTTACAGCCCTGCCCAGGGGCTTCCTTCCTAGCCCAGTTCCTGCATCTCCCGTGAAAAACGTGAAAAACGGTGTATCTCTCTGGAGGCCCCCTGATTCTTAGTGGATTTTGAGTCTTCCCAGGAGCCCATATTTCAGGTCAGATCATCCCAAACGGACCCTCCAAATCTCTTGAAATCCATCCAGCTGTTTTCATGTGACACGGTGACAGAAAAGTCGTTTTTTTTTCATAGAGAATTATTTATAATTTATAGAACTTTGTTCATAAATTATGCTAGAGACACCGTTCCGAGGGGGAAGTGGCAGTAACGGGGATTTTGTGTAACCGTGGAGACTTTGGAATCAGACTGCAGGTTCCAGTCTCGACGTCCTTGATACTTACTGCCTGTGGGATCTGAAACGAGCTCTAAACCCCATGCCGTCTCCTGGTCTCTACCATGGGTGATACCTGTATCGACCTCATATATTGTTGTGAGGATTAAATGAGATGATACATGTGAAGCGCTGAGAACAGTGCCTGGCACCCAGGTGTGTTGGCCATCGCTGCACTAAGGGAAGGTGTTAGCAGCTCTCGGAGGGTCTCCGGGCCCTGCAGAGATCCTCTTGCTAAGGGTGGCACCAGTCACGAGCCCTGGGTTGGGTGACTCTGTGAATAAACCAGTGTATTTGTTAGTTATGGATGCTGCAACACCTTATCACAAATTTAGTGCCTGAAAACAACAAAAATATATTATCTGGCAGTTCTGGAAGTCAGAAGTCCAAAATAGGTCCACTGAGCTGCATTTTTTCTGGAGGCCGTGGACAGAACCCATTTCCGTGCCTTTCGCAGCCTCCACAGGCTGCCTGCGTTCCTCGGTCTGTAGCCCTGCATCTTTCTGACCTTTGCTTCCCTCGTCGCATTGCTTTCCCTGACTTTGACCCTCTTGCCTTCCTCTTATAAGGACCCTGTAATGACACTGAGCCCAACTGGATCATCCAGGAGAATCTCCCCATCTCATGATCCCTAACTCAATCCCCTCTGCAAAGTCCCTGTTGCCATGTAAGATAATGTAGTCACGGGCCCGGAGAATTAGGCTCGATGTCTCTGGGGGTGCAGTTATTCTCCCGATCACACTCCATGTCCACTGACGGGTGCCAGTAACTAGGTGACATGACAGAGCGTTTGGCTGATGTGCTTCTGCGTTGTGTTTTTTGATACAGACTTTCCCTGATGGACCGTCTCAGGGAAGCAAACGGCATTTTTGCCATCAACTTATTAAAAATGTTGGGTGAAGAGGACCACTCGCAGAACGTGTTCTTCTCTCCCCTGAGCATCTCCTCTGCCCTGGCCATGGTCTTCATGGGGGCCAAAGGAGACACGGCCGCCCAGATGTCCCAGGTAGGAGCGCCCATCGCCAAGGAAAAACCACAGTCTGTTTCTCTCTGTGCTTCCTCAGAGCTAGTCTTGTCCCGCCTTCGCACCGGCGGATGACGGCCAGTGTGGCTGGTAGGTGGGAGGGGGGACACCGAGGTGCTGGATAAAGGGCAGACATGGGGAGACAGGTACATTGTGCAGAACAGGGGATCTCCCCTTAGAGAAATCAAGCCATGACGTTCTTTTCTTTAGATGAAAAACATTGATGTGTTGTAGCAAAATTTGATTAGAGTAAACTATAATTCCGTCCCACCAAAAAAAGGTAAGAATTTCGACCGTTAAATTTAAAATTTTTGCTAACATTGTATTTTGAATTGAAATACAGCTGTGTAAATGAGCGTTTTGTCCAGTGGGTTATTTCTGGTGTATGATTACGCCTAAGTGGAAGAAGAAGGCAACATAAATGTGGACTTCTGTCTCCTGGAGTTATTTGGAGAAAATGTAGGATCTGATTGAGCAGAAGTGGGCTACGTGCGACCTCAGCTACAGATGAAGTAGAGGCTAATGCTGTAGGAAGGTCATCCTTAACTGCTTCGTGTCTTAGATTCTCTGACAGTCTTGGGAATATGTTCCAGAAAATTGCCATATACACATCATTTTGCCACTGATGTCTAGAGGTTCTGGACGCTCTTGGAAGTGCGTCCCGTCCCCTGGCCGCGGTGGACACCCGTGGTTGTTCCTTCCGGTGCCCTGGAGGATTGAGGCTTTGGATGGGGCTTGTTGGGAGACACAGGAACAACCCGAATCCTCACTCTGACTGGACGTTTAAATCACAGTCTGGGCTGGAGAACTATGAAGTTACGGATGGAACAGTTCTATTTGTTGTTCTGCTGATTCTTGTGGTTCCCGGGGTCGAGTGGGAGTCATCCCGGCCACCCACGTGTTCTGTCTGGCCTCCCTCCTTGAGTTTCACCCCGTGCCCTCCCGGCCTGGGTGACCGTGCTAGGGCAGCGGTGGAACCCAGGGGCGATTTTACCTCCCAGGGGACAATGCGCCAATGGCCAGTTTTGATTGTCATTAACTGAGAGATGCTGCTGACATCTAGTGGGCAGAGGCCAGAAATGCTGCGAAACAGTGTGCGATGAACAAGACAGACATCTGGCCCACTGTGGCAGCAGCACCGAGGCTGAGAAGCCCGTGCTGGACGGTGAAGCCAACCTCCTTCTAGGGAAGGATCTTTTGTCATTTTCAGCGCAGAGATTTGTCTGGAGATCCTTCTCTGGGGGAGCAAATTGGCAACGTTAAAAGTCTGCGTCCTTGTGTTCTCTTACCAGGCACTTTGTCTGGACAAAGGCGAAGACGTCCACCAAGGTTTCCAGTCGCTCCTCACGGAAGTTAACAGATGCGGCACTCAGTACTTGCTCAGAACCGCCAACAGACTCTTTGGAGAAAAGACATGTGACTTCCTTCCGGTAAGCAGTACTTAGGTGTTGATGAAAAAGAAATAGAAAATAAAATAGACACGACCGAGGAACACAGATAAAGTATAATTCTACTCCTGTAAAAATGCGCTTTGAGTTACAGTGCTGTAGTTATAATTTTGAATATCATGATTGCTTCTGAATTCTGTCCTTTAAAAATCGTTTCTGACACATCCCTCCTGGACAGCAATCTCGTTATGTCCATCCTCCTGCACCTGGACCTGCTTTTTCCCCTTAATCCCCAATACTCAGGGACTGTGCTGTCCCCTGTATATACGAAGCTCTCCCCAGTGTCAACCTCTGGTTGTTGGACTGTTCCTGCAGAGCCGGCCTCTCAAAATCTTTTAAATTTGTCCCCTCCTCGGAGTCACCGCCACCATTGCCCGCGTCCCCACTCTCACGCCCTTGCACACCATTATTTTAATTGTTTCCTAACTGATCTCTCCAAGTCCACCAGGTCTTTGTCGTTGTCTCCTAAATCACACAACTGACGTAATAGACTTTATAAAATTAAAGTGAGCTCGTAACACCGAGGTTTAAAATCTGAGTCGTTTCTGTTTATTGCAACATATAATTTTTAAGCCTGCCACAATGCAGTAAGCGAGGGCCAGAAAACTGTGCCACATAATACGCAGGGCGATGGCATCCTGAGCTGAATGAAATGATCGGGGCGAGCCCGACCAGCTTAATGGCTGGCAGTTCCCGGAATCTGTACGACTCAAATGCGTCCGCTGTTGCATGCTGCTCCACAGGGGTCGCCCGCTCTGGGCGTAAATGTCACTGGAGGTGATTCTGGGTCTTTCAGCTGGCTGGGTCTTCTAGGATAAGCATGAGTGATTCTAGGAATCTTCTGATTTATCCATGTTTATTTTGAACATCAGCTTGATCTTTGAATATTGTGATTGGGGAACCACTGGGGACACAGGAAGCCACCTTCCACTTTTCGGGGTTGCTTGGCTCGTCTCTCTACGTCGTCTCTCTTCTGTAGAAGCTAAAATATTTGAGAACAGGAGATGGGCGGAGGATGGGCACCGATTGCCAGGCACATTATATCTGAAGCCAAGTTTTTGTGAGGTGAGTCGTCTTTGGGTCTTCACGTATTGGGTACAGGTACTTCCTGATTTGACCCCGACTTACATGTTCAGGCTCCTCCCCTGCCTTTGTGTTTTCTCTAATTCCTACACACACACACACACACACACACACACACACACACACACACACCTGTCGAGACCGATCACATTCCACTCCCGGAGGACCTGTAAGATTTCTTGATAATCCACTTCTGCCATGGAGCTGCCCAATCATTCCACAAATACGTTTCAGACCCTAGAGTTGGTGCTGGTGATGCGAAAATGTGTCTAGTGTGTGCTGGGAGGGGCAGAAAAATCAAACAGAAAGTCGCTATGAAGTTTAAGTGTTCGATGGATGTTCACGGGCTGTTTGGTGCCCGCCTGCCACTGTGCATGTTCTCAGAACAGCGCGTGACTGCGTGTGTGTACGTCACCTCTCAACAGACTGCGAGCCACTCCAGGTGTCATGTCACGTCTTCACCCTGGTGTCCAGCACCGAGCACAGGGCCAGGCACGTGGTCGGCGGTCTATACGTTTTTGTTCATTGCATGAGTGAGGATTCAAGGGCAGGATGACCCGTGTAAGCCTTTAGGCTAAAAACACGTTAAGAAAAAAAATGTCTCCACACGGTGGGAACCTTTGCCGAGAGGGGCCAGACTCGGTGTTTTGCACTTGTAGGCCTTTAAGGAGTCCTGCCAGGAGTTCTATCAGGCAGAGCTGGAGGAGCTGTCCTTTGCTGAAGACACGGAGGAATGCAGGAAACACATCAACGACTGGGTGACAGAAAAGACCGAAGGTGAGAGGTTTTCTTTCAGTAGACCTGGCTTTGTGAGGGAAAAGCAGCTACACTGCCTGGCGTGTGACCTTGTCACCAGGGGCCTGTTTGCGTGCTTGCTGCGTCAGGCCGGCTGTGCAGTTGTCATTTTTCATGTTCTTATCAGATCACAAAGTGGTGACTTCGAAAAATACTTAAACCATCGACGGCCATGCCACCCTGAATGAGCCCGATCCTGTCTGATCTTAATGCTAAGCAGGGTCGGGCCTGGTTAGTACTTGAATGGGAGACCACCTAGGAAGAGCAGGTGCTGTAGGCGTAAAAAATAAAAAAATGAGGGATTGTAAGCTGATCTCTGACCCTCCTCCCCTATGGATTGTGCTGGAAAATCTCCCCCAAATGCTTCCCCTTGGGGGGGCCCTGCTTGTCTTCTATCTGGGAGGGTTCTTCCCATGCTCTGAGGGCAGAATGACATTCAGATTGGGTAACAGCTGAAATAGAGCCACGTTGGTGACGAGAGCAGCTCTGGTCTCATCCATGGCCCACTCCTTCCTTGGTCACGTGGCTGTGGCTGTTTGCTTTCAAGCGTGACCTTTGCCCCGGAGGTGCAGCTAAGACGTGGCTGTGGCTGTTTCAAGCGTGACCTTTGCCCCGGAGGTGCAGCTAATGGGGAGCCCGCAGTCCACACACACACACACACACACACACACACACACACACACACACACCTGTCGAAACCTGTCCAGACCACATTCTGTCTCACCAGAAACAGTTCTGCCCGTTCTTGACTAGAGTACAGAGAAAAAGAACATGCTTTTATGCACCGTAAAAACCTAATGCACAATTTAAAGACTACCAGAAAGTGAGGGCGTTCAACCGCTTATTTCCTCCTGTGCCCACCCAGCGGGCTTTATTCCATCCGCTCGATCTTTATGGCACGTCCGCCGTGTACCGGATTACGGTAATCACCGGCGAACATACTGACGGCCAGTGAAGTCATGACCGTCAGAACAGAAGGGCCTTTCACGTTTCCGTTCGTCCCGGGTGCAGTGTTGTCACTGTGCCGCCGATCCCGCCGTCCCGGGTCACCGGAGCAGCCGGGAGCTTGTCCACACCTCGCCTCCGCACACCCGTCACTCCCTTCCATGGCCGCTCTCACGCTTCCTTCCATCAGGCGGACCGTCCACGTGTTTTCTCAGAATAGTAGAGCTGGCGGGGCTTTGGGGATCCCCTTGTCCCCACTCTCATCGGACAGCTCGACTTGAGCTCCTTTATTACATCTCCCTAATTCCTTTGACCCAGTCCCTCCCTGCGGGAAACCCATCTTCTCCATGTTCTTATCAGTATCCCCACCCTTTGAAAGAGTCTCCTCACCTGCGTGATATTTGAAGGTTGGCAAAGAGCGACCATTCTCAACCAGAATTAACCTCCCGGTGACATTTGGCAATGGCTGAGGACGTTTTTGCTTGTCACAATGGGGGGAAGTGCTACTGGCTAAACATCTTATAATGCACAGGACGGTCCCCATGACAAAGATTTATTCGGCCTAAAATGCCGATGGTGGCTCGTTTGAGATATTATGGTGCTGAGGTTGAGAGGCTTACAGTTACAATCAAGACTCTTGGGTTATTTTCCTCAGCTCGGCCGCTTGCCACCTATGTGACCTTGGCAAAAAATAGTCAGGCAAGTGGTCTGAACTTGAATTTTTACATCTATGAATTGAAGGCAAACATTAGTTGACCTGTGTGCACGGCATAGAACACCATCGCCCGATTCGGTCACGTGGCCGGAAAGACAGAATTCCAGCCTGGCTGTCAACTAAGCCTCGGCATTATACATCAAAGGATTTTTGTAAAAGACTGTTTATTATTCTACCTCCCCCCAACCCCCCCACAAAGAGCAGTAAACCTCCCTCATGTTCTTTACAGGTAAGATTTCAGAGATCCTGGGTGTCGGGACGGTCGGCGCACTGACGAAGCTGGTTCTGGTGAATGCCATCTATTTCAAGGGGAGATGGAGCGAGCAGTTTGACAGAAAGCACACACGGGGGATGCCCTAACCAGTGAGGGAAGGCGTTTTCAGGTACACCGCCGCTTCCTTAAAGTGATACTCTGGGAAAGGTGTGAATGGAAAACATGAATGATTTATTTCACAGTCTTGATTGTTCACCTGTTTCTGAATGTATTTCATGCCTCCCATATATCCTTTATTGGAGAAGGGAAGAGAAAAATTAAAATAATCTTTATATTGATAGTTTCCTTTTTTTCATCCTGGGTCAAATTGATCTTGTGTCTCTGGTCATATTATTCGATTGAAAGAAAATTTCTTCTAAGCCTTGGAATTCTGTTTGTATTGTACTATCTCATCGTCTATATTTACTTAGGTAGCTTTTTGAAATGTCAGTGACAACTCTGTTTATTGCCTTAGAATTCTTGACTATACAATTCCAAACACAAGAGAAAAGGTGTATATTTATTTTTTAATTCTTGGGTATCTTTTACAAATAAAAATTGTGTATATTCAAGGTGTACAAGATGATGATTCAACACATAGTGAAATGAATACTACAGCTAAGCTAACTGACATATCTCCTCACATGGTTACCTCTTTTTTTTGTGATGGGAGCCCCTGAAATCTGCTCTTTTAGGAAATTTCCAGCGTTTAATACAGTATCATTAACTCATATAGTCACTATGCTATACATTAGATTTCCAGACTTATAAGCCTAATATTAAAAATACTTTCTCCATTCCTGTTTGAATATGATAACGGTTGGGGTCAATAGCTATTAGCTTGGAATTTGACCTCCATCGACTTGATAATAGCATATTGCACAAAGATTTAAAAGCCTAGAATATATTTGGCGAAAGTTTTAAAAATGGTGGACTCTACGCATCTTGTTAAGTTTCTTCTTTCAAGAAAATCAAAGCCATAGAACCAATTATGGAATCGAGTGACTTTTCAGAATAAAAGTCTAACTCCCTCTGGCCTATATGTCTTCTCTAACCCGATCCTTCAGCCTAAAGGTCTGAATATTAGCTAATTCTCTTAACTTAGACAAATAATTTTAATTATAAGGTCTCTGGGAGTGCGTCTCTATTCATCTTCTTAGAGGAGAAAAAAACGCAACTTTTTTGAAAAATAATGAGAGAGTTTTAAGTTTATCTGTATTCATCGGTTTATTCTCTCTCACCTGCCTATAATTGATCTTCTGAGGCAATAGCATGTTATGCTCAATACTAATATGTAATAATGAAGATTTTATATGTATCAGCATAAATGCACCGAAGTAAGTATTCTCTTATACGGGCCTAGGGGTTCTGTGAATTAGACATGTTTTTAGTGAACTATATTCATTTTTTAGTAACCTGATTTTAATGTCATATTTTCATTAGGAAAAAAAGACAGTGCAGATGATGTTTAAACAAGCTAAATTTAAAATGGGCTATGCAGACGAGGTGCACAGCCAGGTCCTGGAGCTGCCTTACGCAGGGGAGGAGCTGAGCATGGTCATTCTCCTGCCTGATGATGACACTGATCTCGCTGTGGTAAGCCCTTGACAATGAGTCTGAGTGTCTAAGGATCCGGCCTGAGCTCTTTTCTTCAAGTCCATCCATGAGGTAGCATCTGAGGAGTTCAAATTTAGCGTTACTATAACGAGTGCTGGATGAACGCTGTTGCATGTCTTTGGTGAGCACGCGTGTGCATTTCTATTGAGTATATATCTAGAAGCAGAATTGTGGGTAGGACAAATTTTGATGAAGCCAGGAAGAGAGATTCCAAGAATTTAAGAACGTTATTCTTTATTCTGAAGAGGGGCCAGTTGAGGGCCTAATAATTATTGAACAAAAGTACGGGAAAAGGGCGCCTATTGATGTGGGCAGTGATTCTCAAACATTCATGTGCATACGAATCTCTTGGGGATCTTGTTAAAATGCAGTTTCGATTCAGGGGGCTATGGCCCGAGAGCATGCATTTCTAACAAGAGTCTAGGAGACACAGGTGCTGCTGATTGTGGACACACTTTGAGTAGCAGGTGAGGAATTTATCTGAGGAGGAGAGAGATCTCTTCCCGTGACTGGAAAGGGATGGAGCTCAGGATGGGAGAACGTAAATTCGTGAGGTGGGAGGTGCAGGACAAACAGGTGTTGGCTGTCCGGCTCACCAGGGCTGGGGAAGCCCTCACTTATAGAGTTTGCTGGTTCCATGGTGTCAGTATGTCCGCATGGCTGAGTTTAGACTACTAAGGGTTTAACAACTGACCCTCTCCAGAACTATAAGCCAGCTTCAGCACTCCAAGGCACAGGATATTGAGGGCGGGGCCTGCTTGATTTGCGTGGTATCCCTATGGAATCAGGAAGCTATTGGCATAAGTCAAGAATAAGACCTGTCATGGCTACTTAGGAAGAAAATCAGGAGAGTCGAGGAATCAAGCTAATGTCCAAACAGCTTTATGTCACCGGAGAGGAGCACTCACCTGGGCTCCAGGTGGTAAAGGAAAGGGGGGAGATGCAAGTGGAAGCCCCCTCTCCCTCCTTTCTTCCTTCCTGGTGGATAAATAGAATGAGTGATGGGTCTCCGACATTTTGAAGCTAACTCCAGGGCAGGCAGAGGGCAAACTCAGATGCCGGAAGCAACGGTCCCGATGAACTCCCCATTTCTGCCGTCCCCTCCCCAGAAACCACCTCTCCCTTCCTGTTCAGATGATCCCTGATTTCTCCCTTTTCCACAGATCAGAGTTCTGAGCCATGCTCTTTCTTTTGTCACATAGTCTCTCTGACTCACAGGAACGTGTGTCACATGAATATAATCGAATATAATTAATTGGTCCTGAGAATTTTCTATACCAAAAAACATTTGAAATATATTTGGTGCAGATGGTTTTTCTTTTTTTTTTTAAAGCCTTTCTTCGCCTAAGGTATCTTCTAGCTGTTCTACTCTTCTATCCATATAACAGGGAAAAATACAAGAATTTGAGGGAAGGTCTCTGTAAGAGGTCTTGGACCAGAACTCCCATCTAGCTGCGTGTCATGGCGGAGGAGTGATGGGTGGCTGGGTGGGTGGGCACACGGCTGTCGTCATCTAGACTTTAAGATTTGACTCTTGGTTATTTCAGGTGGAAAAAGCACTTACCTACGAGAAGTTCCGAGCCTGGACGGATCCAGAAAAGATGACTCAGGGTAAGGTCCGACTTTTCCTTCCCCGGCTGAAGCTGGAGGAGAGTTACGACCTGGAGTCCTTCCTGCGAAGTCTGGGGATGACCGACGCTTTCGAGGAAGCCAGGGCAGACTTCTCTGGAATGTCGACTAAGAAGAATGTGCCCGTGTCCAAGGTGGCGCACAAGTGCTTCGTAGAGGTCAACGAGGAGGGCACGGAGGCGGCCGCGGCCACGGCCGTGATCAGGAATTCTCGCTGCAGCAGTATGGAGCCGAGCTTCTGTGCAGACCACCCCTTCCTCTTCTTCATCAGGCACCACAAAACCGACAGCATTTTGTTCTGCGGCAGGTTCTCGTCTCCATAACGAGGCGCCATCGCCGTCCGACACGCCTTCCCTTCCACCCCACCTCGCCTTAAAATTCAGATTTTGGTGACCAAATCGGTGCTGTGGTTTGAGTCTCAAAAGTAAAGTGTGTGCACCTGGGAAGTCTGTGAAAGTCTTTACTGAGTATTCCACAGCCATCGAGGATAACTCAGGCCTCCGATGTGTAGAGTTTGGGGCTGTGCTCATTCTGGAATGTGCGGGAGCCCCTCCCTCGCACGGACTGCCCTCACCTACCCATCATGGGGTGGCCGGCTCTCCTCAAAGCTGTGCCCCTGGTTCGTGGGCGTCTTTAGGAGTGCGTCAAGGATCCACAGCTTAGCCCTCTATCTGCTCTTCCATCCTGCAGTGACCCCAGAGCTCTGCCCAGCACCACTGCCAGGCGCCAGTGTCTCAAACAGCTGAGATAAAGTGTCTGTCTCCTGTCACCATCACACAGACAGCCCGGCATGTCCCATGTCTCACACGGTCCTTCATGAAAACAGCTCCTTCAGATCTTGCCATCAGCCTCAGACGTGACGTCAGGGGCTCGGCAGTGAGCCGCAGGGCTGGGCTTGGAGCCAAATCTCTGACGCAAGCCATGTGTCCCCTTCCATCCCCTTTGCTTCTGAGACATACACGTGGCCCCAAAGGAACACACGCCCAGCACCTCTTGGAAACGCTGACCCCTCTAGTTCATCACATATGGTCAGACATGGCTCAAGCACACCCCTTGCTTAAAAGCAGACCTCCCTACATTATTTTTATGATTAAAAAAGAATTTGTGTCACGGCAGCCATTTGCAAACTGTAGAAAAGTATGCAAAGAAACCAAGTCTCGCACAGTTCCACTATCCAGATGCATCATTGCTGTTAATAGTGACCTATGTCCTTCCTTCTTCTCTGTATGCAAATAGAAGTTGGAAACATTTTAACACAGTTCATCCTATACTTCGGTAGTTTACTTCTACCCCTACTTAATGTAAACCTTCTTCAAGATAATTATCTTCCTATGTCATCCATTTGATGTGTCCAATTGTATGACTGTCTATATTTTCTGTAATCAAATCTAATTTAGGTAATTAAAATTACTTATATACGACACTGTTATGAATATCCTAGCTATTCGTTCACATTCTTAATATTTTTTAAAGAAACATTCCTAAAAACGATACCGTCAAGATAAAAGCCGGGCACCTTTGGAGGCTTCTTCCTAATCCTTCTCCAGGTTGTTTTACACTCCCGCTTACAGCACTCCATTAACTGCTGCCTGACTTTCTGTCATGAGTTGGACTGAAAAGTGGTTATTCCGGACTCGATTTGTGGTTCACAGCTACTCGAACCATTCAGATTATAGCTCTTAAAATTCGCCAGACTAGAACACGTTCCGAGCTAGGCCACCTTCGCATGGGGTACCCTGCTTTCCGAAGCGGGTTTGGCCAAACGCTGACCCACAGCACTAGAAAGCACGCTCTGTGAGCTCTAGTCTTGCTCCCGCCTCTAATCTAAAAAAATCTACACCTTTATTGGGGTATGATTCACACAAAAAACCTTTACGTATTTAATACGTACAATTTGACACGTTTCGATCCATGTATGCGCCCATGAATCCATCTCCACAGTCAAGATGGTGAACAGAGCTATCACACCCCCAAATTTCCTCTTGTACTTTGTAATTCCCCTTTATAATTCTTCCCTCCTGCCCTCCCCTTTCCCACCCCAATCATTTACCCTTACTTCTCACTCAACCACTGATCTGCTCTCTGTTCCTATAGATTAATTTGCATTTCCTAGAATTCTCTATGAATGGAATGAAACATTATCTACTGTTTTCGGTATGGCTGCGATTGCTCAGTATTTTTGAGCTTCATTCACGTTCATAGCAATACCATGTTCCTTTTCATCGCTAAATAATATTTTGTTATATGGATATACCACCATTTGTTTATCCATCCACCTTTTGATGGACGTTTAGGATGTTGCCGAGATTTTGCCTATTGCAAATAAAGTTCCTATGAACGTTCATGTGCACGTCTTCGTACGGGCACGTGCTGCTGTTTCTTTGGGGAAGAGACATGAGGGTGGATGTCTGAGCCGTATGGAAGGTGGAAACAGTTTAGCAGTTTCTTTAAAATGAAACATATACCTTGCATAAGGCCCAAAGTGGTCGAATTTTTTAACATCCCCAATAGAGCATATAAGAGCCCCAGTTTCTCTCCCTCCTTGCCAACACTCGGTCCTGTCAATGTTATTTTGGGTACATGGTGGTATTTCACCGTAGTTTTAGTTTGTATTTCCCCAGTGACTAATTATGTTCAACATTTTTTTCATGTGCTCATCTGCCATCTATATATGTTTTTTGGTGAAATGTCTTTTAAATATCTTGCCAACTTTTTTTTGCTTTTTTGTTTTCTATTTCTTATAGTCTTTTGAGAAATTTTGTATTATGGATGGCAAATCCTTTATCAGCTATGTGATTTATCAACATTTTTATTCCAAGTCATGGCTTGCCTTTTTATTTTGATAACAATGCCTTTCAAAGAGCAGGAGTTATTAATTTTGACGAAGTCTAATTGATCACATTTTTATTTATGTATCATGCCTCTGTTGTTATACCTAAGAACTCTTTGCCCAACCCAAGGTGACCAGGACTATCTCCTATGTTTCTCCTATAAGTATCACGATATTAGATTTTACATTTATGTCTATGATCCATTTTAAGTTCATATTTTTGCATATGTCGAAAGACTATCTTTTCTCCATTGAACGGTCTTTGCACCTTTGCCTAAAATCAATTGATATTATATGTGTGGATCTATTTCTGGACTCTACTGGTTTCCATTGTTCTACTTGTCTATCTTGATGCTAATAGCACATTGTTTTGACTATTATAGCTTAATAAGTTTTCAAATCAGGTAATATAAGTCTTCTAATTTTATTCTTACTTTTCATAGTTGTTTTGGCTATTTTCAGTCTTTTGCAGTTCCTTAGAAGTAGCTTGTCCCCTGCTAGGATTTTGATTAGAATTGTGTTGAATCTAAACATCATTTTGGAGAAAGTAGATATCTTAACAATATTGAATCTTTCAACCCGTGAACATGGCATCTTTCTCCATTTAAAAAATTCATCTCAGTTATCATTTTGTTGTTTTCAGTATACAGCTCTTATACAAATTTTGTCAGATTTATCCCTAAGTATATACTGTTTTTATGCTATTATGAAGAGTATTGCTTTTTAATTTCAACTTTTGATTTCTTCTGTTGCTGTTGTATAGGAATATAATTGGTTTTTGTATTTCAATCTTACATTCTTCAAACTTGCTAAGTTCGCTTAGCTTTTTCGTAGATTCCATCAGATTTCTTGGATAGTCTCTCTTTCTCTTTCTTTCCTAGATGTTTTTCTTCCCTTTCTCCCTGGATACAATTCTTATATGTTTAGTATTTTAGTATGCATTTTTAAGTGTTCCTAAAAAAATATATTAATTATATGCAAGTATTTTAAATTTACATAAATGATATTGTGTTTTGTATCTCGTTTTTTTCTTGCTTTTTAAAATAATGTGTTTTACTCAGAGCTGTATTTACATGATTATAAGAGCCAGCCATGCTGTTATGTATGTGTTTGTCCATTGCTTCTAACAGCTGTGTGGTAATACCCTTTTGCTTTCCAAGGGATGCGCACTCAGAATGCCTGTAATTCTTCACTACCAGTCATGACACTGTACTGAATATCCTAAAAAATGTCCCCTCTGAACCTGTGTAATAAACTCTGCATTATGTGTGCCTAGGAGCAGAATTGTTAGGATAATTTTATTTTAGGTATCCATCCCTTGCAAATTTCGCATATGAAAATATTGTCTCCCAACCTTTCATCCTTCTAATAATTTTGTCTGTAGTGTCATTCAGTGACCAAAATTGTTAATTGTAATGTAATTCGATTCATCCTCTTTTAAAATTCTATTGGTGAGAAATTTTGCATAAGAATTTTTTCTTTCCAGGTCAGAAATATTTTCTTCATTTTCTTCTACTAACTTTCCTTTTGATTTGCAGTAACATAATTATAGGATTTTCTGTTCCCGTATATATTGTTATGTCTCTACGCCCTTTCCATCTCTCTGTCTTCAACCCAGCAGCACTGTTGTTTGTCGTTTGTTTGTTTGTTTGTTTTAGTAGGGCTTTGTAGTAGGTCTTAGTTATTTATCTCTGGTATAGAGAAATGTGATCACTTTTTATATTTTGATCTTAGATGTCTTTGGCTTCCTTACATATTTCCGACCCTGTCATTTCCTTCAGCCATCTGGGAGTTCCTCAGCCTAAGAGCTCAATCCACTATTTTTTCTTTACTGTGTCCTTCTTGTGAGTCCCATCTATTTAGTTTATTTTCGACCATTGTATTTCTTCATACATTCAGGGTTTTTTTTTTGGTATCTTCTTCTATTTTCTCATTTAAAATGTTCGTCTCTCTGATGCAACAATTCTGCTTCAAATGTTTCGGTTGGTCAATATCTTTTATAGTGTTTTTCCTCCTCAGATATCTAGTTTTTGGCCTGTGGGTTCAAGTTAGCTTAGGGTGAGCAGATATGGTCTGCTGATATGGGGTAAGTTTCCAAGTCACATTTTTTTTTTTTTTTGGTGATAACCCTAACTAATCTGATGACTCACATTTTCTGTCAGTCCATCAGGAAAATCTTATGGTGAGGGTTGAAGCGGTAACACTCAAAAAGTACACAACTCACACCTGTTCAAATCTTCACTCCTGCTAAGTTTTTTAAACATAGTTATTCATTCGTTTTATTTAAAAATACACATACACACTCTCAGAATCTTTCACCCCATATGCTTATCAAGAACAAATATTTTTGAATATGCCCTCTTCATTCTCTCTCCAATTTGTTAATAATTGTGCTGTATGTATTGACATAGCACAAACTGTTATATACTATATGCTGTCTCTTTTAACTTTAACTTAGTCATAATTTTCCAAGTATAAATATATTTACTGTTCATCGCCAGTCCTTATGTTGACATTTCTCTATGTTTTGGTTGTTTGAAATTCATTCTCTAGTAGATTTTTCAGGATAGCCTCATGAGAACAATATTCTTTGAATTCTTGCATGTTAATAAGTTTTCCTGTTCTTTTTATCCTTGAAAGTTAAGTTTTGCTTTACACCTTCGCTTTAGTTTTTTTCTTCAGAGACTCTTACTCATATGTTGAATCATATAGAGATAAGCATTAGTGGTTCAGTGGTAGAATTCTTGCCTGCCTGCCAGATTTTTTTTATAATGCACTAATATAGCCTCAAGGACACTGGCAGAGGTGGCCTAGGCCATTGATTTAGGGTCCGAAGACACAAGGCCACCAAGAGCCAAGGCAGGGACAAAATCTGAGACATCTGGTTCAGCCTATCTACTACTCTCTGTAGGCTGCATGCGTCTCTCCAGATTGCAGCTGTGCAATGCTTGGGTGCGTTAGTCCAAACAACATTCTGTCTTCTCATAGTCATTTTACTGGTCTTGTTGCTTGGTGACCCTTATTTTTGCTGTTATTGTTTGTTTATTTGATTAGTTCTTAGAATCCTTGTTTCCCTCCTGCCTTTAATTTCTCCAGAGCTCAGTTTTAGGAAGAGAGTCAAACTCTTGCTTTGTGCCATCTTTGCGAACACTGAATCATCTTTTTAATGATGTTTGTGATAACATGTAAAGGCAAGCAAACGCGCACACACACGTGCATAACACACAAAAAACCCACCATAGCCTAATTTACCGTATACTCATAGGCCTCTAATAAATTTGAATTCACTCTTTAAAAAATAGAAATTATATTTTATAGTCTCTAGATTAAAAAAAGTCTTAATACCAAATCTTGTCAAAGAGCAATAGCAATTTTCATACAAAGCTGGAAGGAGCAGAAATTGGTAAAATCATTTAGAAAAGGAATCTGGCATTACTTAGTGAAATTAAGCATTTGTACTTACTTTGACCAAATATTTCACTCCTGGTTAGAAACCCTAGAGAAACTGTATGTTCAAGAGACATGCAAAATTATGCTCATAGTAATATTGCTCATCATGGCAAGAAAAAATGTAAAAAAAAAAAAAAACCACCCTAAAGAAAACATTGAATTATTAAAATGAGTAGGTCATGTATTCATGCAGTAGAATCAGGGTCATTGCCTTGCTCACCTCTGGGGCACCATTCACGTTGTCGGCACCTTTCATATAGAACATAATGTCACTGGCGTCTTCTGGAGGTTGTACAAATTTGTGCAGAATGCCATATATTAGGGAAAATGAATTAATCATATCTACCAGGATAAAACATAATGCCCACCAAAAATAACAAGTGTCAGTTGCATTTGTATAAAGTTAAGCAATAAACAAACTGATTATTGTGCTGCTTTGATACACACACACACACACACACACACACACACACACATACACACATACATATATATACTCATATGTATAATAAAGCTATAGAGAAAAAAATAAAAAAATATTAATACAAAAATATAGAATAGTATTAAATCTAGGGCCAGGAAAGAATGCAATCAGTTAAGTCAGCAGGGAGCTCTAAAGTTATTCATGAAACTCTGTTTTTGTAAGCTGGGTAGTGGATATTAGATATTTATTTAATTTATTACTAACTTTTAAATACACATACATGTAAATCCATTGCATTGTATGCATAATACATTTCACAATGAAAAGAAATTTAACGAAAGAGTGGAGAAATCATGGTATAACATGATGCAGTGAGAACAACAACCAGCTAAGACAGATAAGAATAAATATTGTAAACTTAATAATCAAACTCAATGTAACTTCCTTATTAAAAGACAAAACCTTTTAGATCTAAAATAAAAAAAGGATTTTGCCAAATGTGGATTTAAATTAGCATCTCTAGAATAAAGTGGCACAAAATCTGAATGTGAAATGATAAGCAGAGATACATCAGGCAAATTTAAAAGGACAGCAGTAGTCAAGTTATTAATAATATTAAAAAAAGTAGACTTTAAGGTAATGAATT